AATAAATTATGGTACTTGTGGAATCATCATCTGGGACATCCACATGCTCAAAAACATTCTTACATGGTGAACTACATGAGGTTATATACATGAAGCCTCCTCTAGGGTACAACCAAGCTCAACCTGATATGGTTTGTCATCTTCGAAAATTTCTTTATGGTCTCAAGAAAGCACCACGTGCATGGTTACCATTATAAATGCTGGATTTTCTAAATCTGTTTCAGATTATTCATTATTCATTCGACATTTCAATAATGGTATGGAAATTTTACTATTGTATGTGGATGATATGATTATAACCGGTAATGATGAGAATGAAATTTTACAACTCAAAAATCTTCTTAATGCAACTTTCAAAATGAAGGACCTTGGACGGTTAACATATTTTTTAGGGCTGGAGGTTGAGTATTTGTAGGATGGTATCATGTTAAGCCAAAGGAAGTATGTAGAGGATCTCGTCACACAAGCATGTCTTAGTGATCAGAAGGTAGCTCATACACCTATGGAGATCAATATAAAGTACAGAAATTATGATACCCTCTTGCAGAATCAGCATCGTACAGGAGGCTCATTGGTTATCTAATTTATTTGACAATAACATGAACAGACATCTCTTATTCAGTTCAAGTCTTGAGCCAATTTGTTACAAATTTTTGCCAACATCATTTTTATGTCCCTCCACAGAATCATTCGCTACATTTGGAGTACAATTAATCGAGGTCTTTTTTTTATTCAGCATCATCTCTAAATCTCGAAAGATATACAGATTAAGATTGGGCAGGATGTCCAAACTCTCGAAAGTCTATGAAAGCGGGATGGTGGATGTTAATCAGATCATCACTTGTCTCATAGAAGTACAAGAAGCAGCCAAGAATTTCAAAGTTATCAACGGAGGCAGTTATCCAAAATAATGTTTCTTAATAATTAGCATCAATTTAAGAGGGGATATTGATCATATCAGATATGATTTGATATGATTCCAAATCGTATCTGATATGTTTTCAAATCATATATGATATGATTCCAAATATCTGATATGATTATAAATCATATCTAAATATCATATATGATTTCAAATATTTGATATGATTCTAAATCACATCCGATATATTTGATATAATATTGTGCTAATTAGGCTTGTACCTTTATATATAAATAGGATAGTTTATTAATTATAAAAATAAGAAATACATAATAGTTTTCAAACTCTTTTTGGTCTGATTTCTCTATTGTTATCATTATTTTGCATTTAGAAAAAAAGTACTATTTTGAGAAGAGCATAATAGTTTTCGAAAACATTTTAGTCAGTAAATTAAAGCTCAATTACTCCTTAAATAGGGTCTTTCGAGTATACCCGATGAGTACTATTATATGAGTGTTATTGGACATATTTTGGGAATAATATCGAATATCGATTTGAGTAAGAGTTGAGATAACTCAAATCTCATAACCTACACCGCCAACATCAATAGGATTGTGTTGAAATTCGGATGAATTCTCACCTGCATCAAGAAGGTTTTTTAATGGAACCATGAATTGAGTTGTGTTTATACTTCGACAAAGTATAAGACAGTCTAAGCGAGACCTTTACTTAAAACATACCTTTTGAAAAACTTCAAACATTCCCCTTAACAATTCTTTCCCCTGTTGCCCTAATACTCTCGCCCCAACATTGTTTTTCCTTTGGCCAGCATTAAAAAGAACACAAAAAATTTAGAGAGAGAAAATAATCAATGTTAATTCATGTCTAATGGAGCAACATATATAAATAAGGAAACATGCACTACTAGTGAGAAGCTTTAAAAAAAAAGGTAATTCGTCGGTGGCCCTTTAAAATTCGCATCCATTTTTACTTAGACACCTTAACTAGATTTTGTACATTTTACATACCTTATGTCATTCCCTATTATGTCATTTTGGCATTTTTTTTAGATGTGATATAGTGAGTGTGCTACACTCATTGATGGCGCGTCTATGGCTTTTTTTAACCTATTTATTTTATTTTTTTCTCTTCTTCTTTTCCTACATTTCTTTCTCAAAAATTTTCAAAAAATAAATCAAAGACTTCTTTCAAATCTTCTATTATATGTGTTGGAAAAACATAATGTTAATATTATTGAACAATATACATACTTGACCTCACTAGTTGATGGCAAGAATGTAACCCCTTTTTCTTAAAAGAATGGAGAGTAAAATTAAGTTTTTAAAAAGAGAAAAGACATAAAATGACATTTGAAGTTGTTTCGGATTTTCAAAAAGTCACTTAAACTATGAAAACGTCCTATTACCCCCTTAAGCAATCCTGAACTGATATTATTATATCATTTTTTGTCCACTTGTCATAGAGAGTGTATGCACTCTCTTAAAGAGCATGAACAAACACAAAAATGAATATAATTTTATTTTTACAAGAATTTTGTTATAAAATATTTTTCTTGTTTTTCTTATAATTTTAACTTTTTCTCCTTATTAATTTTCTCTTTTTTCTTTTTTCCTTCTTCAAAAAGTCATTGTCATTTTTATTGTAACTTCTCACTTTCAATATCATTTTTTATTACAACTCCACCTCCTTTTTTTACTATTATTAGTTTAACTCTCTTCAACTTTAAAATTATATCTAAATATTTTATTACATTTTGAACAATTTGATAACCCACTAGATTTTAAGATGATTAGTAGGCATTATTTATCTTTTTTATCAAAATTTCACTAAAACATTTTCAATTTTCGAAGAATTCTGATTCTTTCAAAATTATCATTTCTAATTTTGAAGTTATATGAAAATGAGATAAATTAATTGATGATACCTTTAAAAATTTTATTTTTCTCAGAAAAATAATTAGTTTTGTTATCAATAATACAAATTCTAGAAAGTAGTATAATTTTGAAGAAAAAAAAGAATTTGACCGAAAAAGAAGAAGAAAAAAATGGAGGGACTCAACTTGACATAAGGGTGAGGTGAGATGGGGGTGGGAGGTGAAGAAGATAAAGAAGAAGAAAAACATGAAGGGGTAACTTGAAAGTAGGGGTGAAAGATGAAGAATTTAAAGTGAAATCAAAATTAAAGCAATAAAATAAAAATAAGTCAAAAAGTAAGAGAGAGGAATAAAGAAAAACTTACAATTAAAAAAAAATCATATTTCAAATTCAATTAACATGTGTCACACAATTGGTGTGTGATAAACACTTGCTATTTAAAATCTCATATTGATCAAAAAATGATGTAATAATATATTATCGGATTTATTTAGAGGGTAATAGAACGCCCGCATAGTTAAGATGTCTTTTTAAAAATCGGACTCATACTGCCATTATAACTTCTCAGATTTCATATTTACATTTCTAAACACCAAATTAAATGAAGAAATTGGAGAAAAGTATGGTAAAAAAGACAATAAAATCAAATAAATATTACAAAAAAGACCATGAAAATGGAGTAATATGAACGGGGTGGGGATGGGTAAAAAGAAAATGAAAAAGGATAAATCCGAAGAACATGAATGTGTTTTGGGAGAATTTTTCTTATGAGGAAGATTATTGGGGTGGGAGAGGTCGGTGGGGAAAGGGAATCTTCAAATTAATTTGTTTTTAATTGGTTAAAGTAAAAGTAACCTAATTTTTAGTGTGAAATATTTTTATTATGTGGTGTGTCACACTAATAAACTGGCTTAATATGAAATAGATGAAGTAAATAATTTTCAAATAAATAATATTTTAATTAAATTATTGATAAATTTTCAACTAAGCACACATTTCTTAGATCAAATACTTTCACCTTTATGTTACCCTTTCAAAAAATTAAATAAAATTAATTCACAAAAATAATAGATACTGTTGTTTATTTTTTTTAAAAAAAACTAATTCCTCTATTTCAGTGGCTAATATTGTTTCATGGCTCCTTGGCTTTACATTGGGAAATTTCCAATGCAACCATTTATTTCTCTCGTGGCATCGCTGCCATTAGTGTGCCTTACTTTGTATTTAGATAAGCATTCTCATCTTTAAAAAGTCACAAATTTATCTTTTAAAAGATGGAAGGAATTTTATGGCATTGATAAAATGGAAAAAAATAATTATTTATTTAATTTTAATTTGACATGGAGTTTAAGAAAAAAGTTTATGTTGATAAATGTTGTCGGAATTTTGTTAGAAGGATATTTTACCTATATTATTTTATTTTTTTTTGAACATTTTTACTTTTTTAACTTTAATACATTTAAACTAAAAAATGAAAAAAGATTAGTTTATTTAAAATAAAAAAAGTATTAATAAATTTTCCGATCAAATTTTGACCAAATTATCTAGTTATTTAACAATTTTCAAAAGAAAATTTAGATTTTATAATCTTGAACTAAAGTTACGTGAAATATATTAAAGTATTTTTCTTAATATGTATCTTAAGTATATCAGATAGAAAGTCGAAACTAAATAACTTCGGAAAAAGAAAAAGTATGCATTCTTTTTTAAATTTAAGGATAGAACGAAAACGCGAGCAAATGCAGCAACC